GTCAAGCCGGATCTACTCAGCAACACAGATACCTGCACCTACTGAACGTGGGTGGTATAGATAGCTGAGAATTTCTTTTAGTTCATTTTTATAATATTACTGTATTTACAAATTTTTGGTAAATATCTTCATACATTCGTTGGGAAAACAACCGAGACCTTTTCCCCCAGAAAACAAAAATAGAAGAAAATAATATTTTGTCCAACCCTAAGCACCCATCTAATTGATGGACAGCAGGGAATTATATACTTGTGTGAAAAAACAAACCTGAAAATGCCTGGAAATCTACTTTAAATATGGTATTTTTTTCATGTTAAACAGCAGAGGAAAGAGATAAGCTACATCAGACATACATTAGCCTAGCTCTTGGGAATTCTACGTGTGTGTGTGTGTGTGTGTGTCTGTGTGTGTGTCTGTGTGTGTACACACATGCATGCATGTACACAGGCACAGTACTTTACACATGGATACAGATACATGCAGTTTATGTTTCAGCGCCTCACACCATTTTCAGTCATTAGAAAATTGTGTATGCTTATGATGGGTAGAGGAGAGTGCTCTCACCTTGTCCCGGGCCGACGTTTCTTCATTCTCCTACATCTGGAGAGCAACCAGTCTGAAAAAAGTCTCTACTATCAGTGGGAGCACTGTGTGTGAATTGGGCGTATGGGGAATTCTGTATCCTGACTCACATAGAGACTCCCCTCAGGTACGAGAAAAGCTCCTTCCGAGATTCACTGCTCTCCATTAGAGATGGGCACCCACCAGTGGTTTGGCAATTCATCCCATTTTGTTTACCATCGCAACAGGTTCCGGTGATTTGCTGCTCTGCCCCCTCCAGGAGGCGCCCATTCAAAGGCAGTGCCCAGAGGAGGCAGGGCAGAGAAGACTGCTTCTGAGTGAACTGAGTGAAGGACTGTGCCCATCTCTACCCTCCATGTGTAGCAGAGTAATGAAACCAGAAACAGAGCAGGGTGGGGCTAGAGCATCTATGTGCGCTTGTGTGTGGCAAATGTGCACAGTTTGCTAACAATTGAACAGGGCTTCTAGTCTTGTTCAAGTGCTGAAAGCCAGATACGGTTTGATTCCATCTGATGAGATGTCTGCTACACTCCATTTTGACTGGATATGCTTTATTTTATTTTA